CCGCACACGGAGCCCCCCGCCTCCCCCCCCCCCAGGTGAGGTTACCCCTGTCCCAGCACCCCCTCAGGCCCCCCCAGCTGTCACTGTGCCACCACGGTAGGACCCGGCATCTCCCACCTCAGCGACAGTGTGCGTCCCCCCAGCATGGGCTTTTTTGGAGTCCATGAGCCCAACGCACCACCGCTGTCAGGGTGATGGAGGCGCCTTGATATAAATTATAGCTGCATTAATTAGGTGGTGGGTTATTAATCAGCTGCCAGGGTAGGACGGAGGGGGCTGAGAGCAGGGGGGAGCTGGCAGCAAGGTGGCAGGGTCCCAGTTGTGACCCCTCCTAGGCTCTGCCTGCAGAATGGCCACAAGGATGTGGGTGGCCCATGAGCTTGATTAATTAGGAAGCAATCTAATTAACAAGGAGCGCTGCCCAAGCCAGCCCTGAGGGCAGGGCAAGAGCTGGCAGCCCCCAACACATGCTGCCCGCGAAGGGCTTCGGGGCTTGCCCACGCGTTGGTGCAGGCAGGGAGCGAGGCCGGAGGCTGGATCCGTGCCAGGGAGCAGGCAGCCCCGACCCCAGCATCACCGCAGGACAGGATGCTCCGGTACCTGGGTGGGTACAAAACCCACTCCCAAACCATGCAAACCCAACCCCCCCATCATGCCAAAACAGGTCCTGGGCAGCTGGGGAAGCCTCGGAGGGGGGCTGGGTTTTGCAGAGGATACAGGGCTTGGGTTAAACATCTCCCAGAAAGGGAGGAGAGGGATTTCCCCAGCACCTCTGAACCCCACTAAGGTATCCCCATCCTGGTATCTCAGCACCGAGTTTCTCTGCCATCAGCTTTTGGGTCCCCTGTGTATCTAAAATTGCTATTCCTCCCACCTAAAATTGATATTCCTGCCGATACCCCCAAATGCTGCAGCTCTCAGCACTCCTCCTGCAGCCATCAGGGAGCACTGGACCCACAACAGCCCCGGGCAACCCCCCTGTGCCCCCCGCGCTGCTGGAAGCTGCAGGCAGGGGGGGGTCAGGCAGGGCTCCCCCCGTTCCTCCCCTCCCCACTGGCCCTCTTTGCCCATAGGGGCTTTGCACCGTCCCCCCAAGGCAGGTCTGAAGGGGTTCCCTAGGGGACACCATCCATGGGACATGTCCCATCCATGGGACAGTGTGCTCTCCTGGGTCCCCCTGAGGGTGGGCACTCAGCTGGGGGAGGGCAGAACACCCACATCAATCCCCAGGATGACACCGTGGTGAAACGCCAGTGCCACCACCTGTGCCCCCATCCTGGGAAGCTCCCACCCCACCACGCTCTGCTCACACCTGGAGGGCTGGGGGCTCCCAGGGAAGGACCAGCTCCATGCAGTGGGGCACAGCACCCATGGGTGCTCACTCGCATCCATGCACCAGGGCAGGCACACAAGAGACTGCCTGTGCCCAAACGCCATGGGAGGGCCGAGCAATATCACAAATGCATTTGTTCCACTGCAGCCCCCTCTTTGCATCTCTAATTGCGTGGCATGCCCTTGGATTTGCATAGAAAGATCAAAATATAATTAATTTTTGGCACCTGGCAAAGCCTGCACAAGGCTAATCCCTTTAGATTTTGCAGCCTTATCTCATTTGAGCGTTTATCTAGTTAAGCTTAATGGGTAAGGGAGAGGAAAAAAAAAAAGTCAGCTGCATTTATCTGAAGAGCTGCTGCTTCCCCTGGGCAGCCCTGGCGTGTCAAGGCTCAGCAGCCAAAAGGCAGCAAAAAGCAGAACAAGGGCACGATATCCCCTAAAACTGCCCAGCCCCAGCCCCACCAGAGCCTCTGGGCTTTATATTGTGGCTGAGCAGACTCACAGACCCCAATTTTTTGGGTTACGAGGGCTCTATAAGGCTCCTGTATCCCTGAGCATCCCTGAGCACCCCCAAGGCCTTCCCTGGCCCGGCACAGACTCACGTGTAGAGCGGCTGTAGCTGTAGGTGTGACGTCTTCTGTGGCGCCTGGTAGCCATAGGAGTCAAACCCGCCGATGAAGTCAACTGGGGAGAGGGGGAAGAGCAGCGAGGTGAGCTGGGGAGAGCAGCGAGGTGAGCTGGGGAGGGCAGCAGGACAATTTCCCTGCCTCCCCCTGCCCCAACGGCATGCATGGGTCATGCAGCATCCCGGGCTGCAGCAGCATCCCAGGGAAGTGCAGCATCCCGGTGTGCAGTAGTATCCTGGGTCACCCCAGCATCCCGGGGACATGCAGCATCCCAGGCCCCAGCAGAATCCCAGGGAAGTGCAGCATCCTAGGTTGTTGCAACATTCCGGGACGCCACAACATCCTGGGTCATCGCAGCATCCCAGGTCATCACAGCATCCCAGGGACACACAGCATCCTGGGTCACAGCAGCATCCCAGATTGCTACAACATCCTGGGTCACCACAGCATCCTGGGTCGCAGCAGCTTCCCAGGAAAGTGCTGGCAAGGAATGGAGGACAGGAGCAGGACTGACCTGCAAGGATCCCTTGGGCTCTCTTCTCACCACAACAGCCCTTGCATTGCAGGCTGGACAAAGTGGGTAAAATTACCCCATCACTGTCTCCAGAGTGGGCATTTAAGGAGAATTATGGGGGAATTAGTTCTCGTTTGAAGTGTGTCACTTAGGGCAGTTGCAGACACCAATAAATCAGTTTTCATGGCTGCGACTTCCAGCCCGGTGGTTCATCCCCCTCCGGCCGGCAGAGCCCATCGCCCGCCCAATGAGCCCCCAGGTGCTTGCAGGAGGGATCGCAGCAGCAGACCCCAGCCCTTTGCCCAGGCTCGATGCAGTGGGAGCGACAGGTGGCTGGGGGTCCCCCAACTTCTCCCACGATCATCCTATGTGCCCCCAGACCTGAACCCTCCCACGGACACAGCCAGTGGCTGGGGAAACCAAGCCTGGACCCCCCCCCCGGCCCCAGCCAGTGGCTGCTCAGCCAGCCCTGGACCGGGCACCTGAGCAGTCAGGCTGGGCCATCCAAGCCGTCACAGGAGCCATAGCATGACCCATTTCCCCCCAAAACAAGTATATTAATCCCCAAGGAGCCATGATCCAGGTGGATTTGCACACGCGTGTCTGGGAAACAGCAGTGAGCTTGAGGGGGGAGCCCAGTTCTCCCAGCATATTTATCTTCCCGACTTAATATTCAGCCGGCTCTCAATTTTGACGCCATTCATCCATTTCCAAATCTAATAAGATATTCCATTAAAAAAGATGCATTTGAATCTTGGGCTCCAGCAGCATTAATATTAAAAGTGTATTGAATGCGGGAGTTTGTTTGAATGCAAACTTGCTTCAAAGCCGGCAGCGGTAGATAAACCCTTTTGCTAGCTCCCCGGGTACAGAAACAAGTTATTACCGCAGGCAGTGTTCAATTTCACACGGAGATTTTCCTTTTCCGCTACACCGGTTCCCGGCAGCGGGGGGAAAACATGAGGATGGTGATTCCTGGCATCTCCCGGCCCGGGCTGGGACCATTTCTGGGTCCATGGCACCAGCAGGGATGCTGATCCCGATGCTGCGGGGACGGAGCCTGATGCTGAGCACATCTGGGTGGCTTTTGCCGTGCCGGCGGTTGTGGCACATCCCTGCCCGCGGTTGGCTGCCAGGAGCTGCCAGCTGGTGCGAATTAATTAATGGCAGATGAGCATTTAATGCGGTTGGATGGCTACAGCCTTAACCGCCTGGTTAATTGGGGCTGGGGTGCTCCTCACTTCCGGAGGGGTGTTTGCAGGGATCGCTGTCAGGTCAGAAACCACAATATAGAATCTATAAAAATTAGCTCATAACTTGGCTTAAATTGGTGGGTTTCCCCCTGCTTTAGGGTGAAAAACCTTGAGGCAGGGAGGAGGGCTCTGCCACCCCGCTGTCAGGAGTATGCTGGCTGGGGGGACACAGTATTTCCCATTTCATTGTCCCCAAGCCCCAGGCGGCTGTTGAAAGGGTGAGGCAGGTGATGGCTGGCTCCGGGAGACATGAGCAGGAAGGACGGCTCTCCAGCAGCCCCCACGGGGCCGGATCCGCACCAGGAGGAGCATTGACGGTGAAGTTACTGGGGCTTCGAGGTGGCTTTTTACAGTAAGGGCGATTATCCGCACTGCCACGGCAGCCCAGGGACCTGGGGGAGATGCTGTGTCCCGGAGGAGGTGCTCTGAATTTGGGTCAGTGGGGAGCAGTGAGAGTGATGCTAGCCCCAAATCCACCCCTGAGCAGCCACGCATGGGGATGAGCATCCGGACATCAGCGGGAGCTGGACTCGGTGCTGCGATGCTGGGTGTAGGGACCGGGGACCATCTCAGCCTCTTCGTGGGCTGGTGTGGGGACAAAGCCCGACCCCATGCGTTGGATGAAACCGGTCCTGTTCCTGCACCCGGAGGCAGTGAGTGCTGCAGTCCCATGGGAGACGCTCAGGGTTCAGTGTCCCCATGCCCCTGCTCTCCCAGCCCCAGCCAGGGTGCAGCACCCTCCCTGAGGTGGGTAGGGAAGACCGCTGGTGGCATGGGGTGCCACATCACACCCCCGCACATCTGCCTCATTGGGGATGCAAAAATGGGGCAAAAAACCCCAGCTAAAGGTATCCCTTCAACCGCCTGCAACCCAGGTAGCGCCCCCCCATCCCCACCCGGGCACTGGCTGGCCTTAGCCGAGGCCACTTTGCAGGGCTGTGGCTCTCCCCCCATGACTGGTAGCTAAAGCACTTACAGCTGTCTTCTTCCTCCAGGAACACTTTGCTGACGTAGCATGCGTAGACGAAGCCAAAGAGCTGCGAAACAAAAGTGGACAGAGAGAAGTCGGTTATCGGGGCGATGGACACTGTGACCGGCGCAGGAGGACCGAGCTGGGTGCTGCGAGGTGGCTGCCTGGGAGCATCCTGGGGGGGCCCTGGGCAGGATCAAGGCTGCCGTGGTGCTGGAGCCCATCTCCAGTAGGTCTGGGTGCTGGTTTGAGATGCAGTGAGGTGGGGTGGTTTCAGCTGTGCTGGGGGGACAAGGGTGGTGGCTCCTGGGGGGACGGGCTGGCATGGCATGGGGACAGCAGCGCAGAGGGTGCTGAGCCCCACGTAGTGCTGGGTGCCCCTTTGGCGAGTGCGCAGCCGCTGCTCTGGACCCCATTTCTCTTTAAAGCTTTATTTTCTTGCAGTCCCCCAAGGCTCCCTGGGAGCTTTGCATCCAGGTATGTCCCCTTCCCACCTCCCCATGGGGTGAGAAAGCCGGTGGGAAGGGGGGACCTTCCCTTTCCAGCAAGCGCCACATCCCACCAGCTCACACCCCAGCAACACATCTGGGCGTGTTACCCCGAGAACCCTCTGATTCTGGCAGCACCCAGCCCACAGCCTGCCAGGTTTTGGGGTGGGCAGCACCCCCAGGGTGCTGGCATGGTCTCTGTCTCCTCCTCTCTCCCCACCCCTGAGCCAACACCACCCTTGGTGCTATAAAATGGGATGCGTGATGATGGGACATCTCCAGCTGGACCACAGTGCCTCTGTGCACCCAGGTCCCTGCCATCGTCCCCCCTCTCTCGCTTCGCAATTCTGGATGGGGGCTGAGGAGGAAAAGTGCTGGCAGCTGCCCTTACCGCCAGGAATATCTGCGTGGCGCTGCTCACTACCTCGATGTACTGGTAGTCGAGCAGGCAGCCGCTGACGGTGATGACGTGATGGTCCTCGGGTGCCAGGTTGGAGTTCATCACTGGTGTCACCAGGCAGCCTGGCCCGTTCTCCATCCACCATGAGCGATGCAGTGAGGTATTGAAGGTCATGATGAAGTCTCGGTCCTGCGGGAGGGGAGCAGAGGAGGAGGCACAGACCGTGGAACCAAGGCTCTTTGCAGGGGGTTTGGACAGAAAATGGGCTTTTCCAACCCAAGGATGCTCCACAGGACCCAGACCATGTTAACGCAGTGCAGCCAATGAACCCCTGCATCTCCCAAACCCGCAGCCAGCGTCCCCGGGGTTTGTGGCTTCCTCCCACGCTGGCGTCATGGACTATTTGGTCAAGCAGCATCCAGGTGTGCCACGATGACCAGGTGACATCATGCCTGTCACAGAGTGGTCACCACTGGTGCAGCAGCTTGGCCTGGAGGCAGGGAAGCAGCCACCTGCAATGCTGCCGGCCGCATCCAGCCATCCGAAAGATGGGACTGTGGGATCACCCAGCCAGCATGGTTCAGGGATGCAGAGCAGAGAGGGTTTTGGGGTGCCACCCCCCATCCCCATGCCCGCGGAGCCTTGTGAGGGCCCTGCTCACGCACGTCCCCTCCTCGTGAGCCCATTAGCAGGCTTTGGGACTCTCCCTGTTTCATCTCCAGCAGCTTTTGGGTGGCAGAGCAGTGGGCAGCAGTCTTCCTGCTGCAAGGCAGGGCTGCAGGCTGCCACCGGGGTCGGATGAGGCGCAGGGCTAATCCCCCAGCCCCTCCCGCACCCTCCCCCGTAGCAGGCTCATGTGAGGCTAAACTCCTGGGCTCAATCCTGGGAGGCACCATGGCATGGTCCATGCCCATGGATCCGGCAGGGAGATGGGGCAGAGATCTAGCAGGTTGGGATGCAGCCCTGGTGTAGGGCTCCTGCAGGCAGCAGCGGCATGGCTGGATTAGCACCCACCCCATGGAGGGTCCTCCTGGCACGGCTGGGTGAACACCCACTGCACCGAGGGGGCCCTGCTGGGTGAGCACCCACCCCATGGAGGGTCCTCCTGGCACGGCTGGGTGAACACCCTCTGCACAGTGGGGTCCCTCCAGCATGACTGGGCACCACCCATCACCCCATGGGGCCCTTCTGGCCCAGATGGGCGAGCATCCATCCCAGGGAGGGTCCTACCAGCCCCTCTCTGCACCGCCAGCCCTTGGCCTCCAGGGGTCTGGGAAACCCACTGAGCATCCCTTGTAGGAAATCACCGATCTGGGATTGAAAGATTTTTGTGGGTGGGGACGGAAAAAATAGCAAGCAAGTGGGTTTTGGTTTCTAAACCCAAAGGATGTGGGTTTAGGTGCTGAGAAGCACAAAGAGCGGGCATTCTGGCATTGCAGCATCACTGAGAAATGGGGGATTTCCACGGGAAATACTTGGTGGGAGCAAATCCTCCCCTATTGTGTCCTCTGTGCCTGCTGTACATATCCAGCATTCCAGCTTTTCAGAAGAGCCTCAAACAACCTGTAGCAACATGGGAAGGTGGTTTTGGCTTTGCAAACCCTGCAAGAAGCCCTTTCCCCGCTGTGGGTGGCCACAGGGCAAGCTGAAGCCTGTTTCCCCGAGCCGTCCGTGATGCCCTGAGCACAGTGCCGGGAAACAGCATCCTCAGAGCCGGGAGCAGGATGCCAGAGTGGGGCACAGCCTCGGCACCAGTACCCCAACCAGGGGCTGAGGACACTCAAACCATCTAGTGATGCATCTTCATTAAGTTCTGCTCTTTTTTCTTTAATAGCCCAGGGTGGGGTGGAGAGACATGGAGAGGCACGGCCTCACTCACATCCTCACTCTCATCGCCACCAGGATGACTTCTCAAAGCCATTAATGATGTCCAGCCTCTCCCGTGCCACTGCTGGGAGCTCTGGGGCCAAGTGGTGCTTGCAGAGCCCCAGGAGATCCCGGAAAATTGGGAATCTGCAGCAGGGGGGCCTCCTCCTCCCCACCCTACTGCCTTGCCCATCCCTGCCTGCACCACGAGCTGAGCTGCTGGAGACCCTGCCCCAAACCTTCCCGTCATTGCTCGTCCCCAGTCCCTGTGTCCCTTCTCCGCTTTATCTCCTCACCAGTGTATTAGGAAACGTCACCGTCCAATTTCTGCACCCCATAAATCCCTGCAACACCAAGGGCCTGCCGCTGATTAATGAGTACCCTGCAATTCCCGACTCATCAGCCTCATTAATTTTGCTCTCCTGCTTCAAAGCCTCCCTCCCACTGCCAGCTTGGCCTGAATCGTCCGTCTGTCCATCCCACGCATGCCCGGGTGCTCAGTGCTGCAGCCAGGACCCCCCAGGGAGGCACTCCCAGCACCCAGCTGGGTACTTTGCCACCAGGGTGGAGGCACCCGCAGGCTCTGGGTCCCTTTTTGGGGGGCAGAGCTGTGGGGCAAGGGAAGCAAGAGGAGGAGGAGGGCCAGGGCAGGACAGCAAGAAGGGTGGAAAGATGGGGGGAAGGTGGGTGGGGGGAGGAAGAGGAGGCAGGTGGGGGGCATTACCTGCGACAAGCGTCCAACCTCCAGGTAGAAGCAGATGATGAAGGCGTTCCAGCCGACCCACAGCACCAGCCACACCGCATACTGCCGAGAGAGAGCCCATCAGGGCATGCCATGCTGAATGGGCATCCCCCAGCCCATCCCCGCTCCGCCCCACTCGCCAGACCCTGCCAGATCCACAGGGATTTGGGTTGGGATACAGGAGGCAACCTGGGGCTGAGCCATCCCCGAGGGTGATGATACTGCACCGGGGCATAGGGAGGAGCATCCACGGCAGTACCTACCATCATGAGGTATTTGGATCTGTACTGGATGGTCCCAAAAATACCCAAAATAACGGCCATGATGTGTAAAAAATTAGCCAGGATGGGTGCCCACTGGTAGCCCAGGAAATCAAAGATCTGCCTCTCCAGCGCCGCGACCTGCAACAGAGCAAAGGGAGGGTTGCAGGTATCAAAGCATCGGTCACCACAGCAGCTCCCAGGATGCTAAAGGCAAAGAGTAGCCAATAATTAATGGGAATCCCACGGATAATTAGCTGCAATAGGCTGAAATGTCTGCGTGATGCATCGGCTGGCGGTAGGTGAATGCATGGCGGTGAGTGAGGGGTTATTAGGAATAACTGGAGCTGAGAAGGGGGAGCAGGGAGGTGTCAGCTTGTTGCCCCACTGTGCCTCAGTTTCCCCATCACTCAGGTCTCAGGTACTGCTGAAAGTCACCCTCCAGGCTGGGTTTATCCCTCAGCTCAGCTTATCCAGGGAAAACCTCTTGCTCAGGTCATGCATGGGGTCCCCCCCAGTATTTTGCAAGCAATTTTTCTGCCTGTCTGCAGGAGCTTGTCACATGTCTTCCCCTATTTAATGCCATTAGGTTTTGATTGCCATTATCTTTGTAATCCATAAATAAGGCTGTGATGTAGCTTAATAAATCGCCCGGCACGCAGAATCAGAGATGGTAGCTGGTGTGATCTGCCTGTTATCCCAGCGCTTATTTATGGCTCTATTTGCTACCGGCTCAGGGCCTATTACTCTTAATTACAGGATTATCTTAAAGAAAGGTGGTAGCAAAGGTAAGGTGGGAGCGCTGGAGCATTCGCCGATGGTTTTAAGTTCAAAAATGGAGATTTGACGAGGCTGTGGTTTTACAGGGAACTTTCAGGGAACTTTGGGTTGCATCAGGCGCCGCAGTCCCCGAGTGTATGGGGACAGGGCTGCAGCAACCTGTGTCTCCAGCAGCCTTGCAAACCAAAAAACCTCTTTACATTTATCTTTTTGACAGCCCAGTCCTGTCTCATCACTCTTTGAGATGCCCCAGATTCACCCAATAAACCCTGTAAGCTCCGGGGCCCTGAGTCCTCCCTGCAGCACCGTGCCTCAGTTTCCCCTCCTGGTGCAATGACTCTCATCCTGGCAGAGAACTGGGAGTTTATCCTGAAAAGCACAGGGGAAAATGGGCTTTATATCCCCCCTCTGTTCACTGGCAGCTCCCCACAGTGATCTGGACTTAGGGGAGCTCTGTCCTGGAGCTCCCTGAACTCTCATGGGGGTTATGGCCGCAGGGCTGCCCCAGGGCCCCACAGCATCCCTGCCCATGCAGCCGACTTAATGCGTCCCAATTACAGGGTAGAAATAAATGAGGTGGCAAAAGTCCTTCTCTAAGTGTTTCGTGAGGATGAGGCATGGCTAATGCATCTGTGTGTGCAACCGCCAGCCGTGCCTCAGTTTCCCCATCCATAAAGCATTACGCACTCATTGAATTGGCTTAGCGATGGCTCTAATTAATGTCTATTTTAGCTCAGCTCCATCCTGCCAGTGGGAGGAAAGCCAAAGGCAGAGCCAAGGACCGTGGTTTCCCATCCCTGACCCTATCCCACGAATAGGATCTGTTGGATCCCTGCTGGCAGGACCCCGGTTTCAATTAAAGGTGATGCAAAGTCATGGAGCTGCCAAGCCTGGGCAGCCCCTGGATCCGCAGGGCTGGGACCAAGGCTGTTTGCATTGAGGCTTAATTCACTTCCACGCTATTTAAACTCTCTGAGGAAACAGCCTTTGGAAATACTTACAACTGGGCTGTAAATCTTTTAAATTGAGGAATGTAAATAATAAATGATACAAGGAGAGCGGTGCTCGGGGTTTTATAGCCATCCATCGATCTGGTGGCTGTTGACAGAGCTGCTTAGCAGGAGCTAGATGCGAAGGCTGTGAGTTTTGGGTACTGGTGAGTCTCTGAGTCAAGGGATGGGGCCGGGAAGAGCCTCCAAGAGCATCCCATCAAGCTGAAGCAATGGGCGCCTCCTTAATTCCAGCCCATCAAGCCAGGACAGGCTGAAGGAGAAGGAGCTGGGAAAAGCCAGGCCAAGCTGAATCCTTCTTCATCCCAAGGAGAGGCAGAATTAGTGGCAAACACCACAGCCTCCCCATGGACGAGCAAGGGCTGCTAATTGCACCAAAAAGCTCTGCTGGAGCTACCCTGGCAGGTAAAATGCTGCTTTGTGTGTGCCGTTATTTGAGCTTATTCCCTCCATGTGAAAAGCAAATCTTGTTTTTTTCAGCCTTGTCAGAACCTGCGTAAGGTTGAGGAAAATATGGAGACACAGCACAAACACGGCGAGCCTGCGGCTGGGGGCCCCCCTCGCTGCCTGCAAAGCGCCAAGGGCATCCCAAGGGCAGCTCAGCAGCCTTATGCCCAGTTTCACGAGTGGGGAAACTGAGGCATGGCCGTGCTCCAGGGGGGTGGGTGGGACAGGTTTGACAATCCTGGCATGGGGCATGGTGGGGCTGAGTGAGCACCGTCTTCAGCTCAGACCGATGCTCCTGGCTTGCTCCAAGTGCTTCTCCCTGCTCGCTCGCTGTGCACCCCAGGCTGGTCCAGCACCCAAAACATCCTCGCCCAATCCTTTGGGGGTGAGATGTCCCCCAGCAGCAAACTTCAAGACACCCAGACTATTCATGCAACCACCACCAGTGGTTCATCAACAGTGGCCGTAAATGAAGCAAGAGCAGTGAGCAAGCCTGGCCGCAGGGCTCGGCATTGCCTGCGAGCGTGGCAAGGGCCTCCGAAAGCACTCAGCACCCTCCACAAGAAACCTCTGAGCAACTTGGGGACCGGCAGCATCCAACCCCTCCAAACCCAGGTGACTTGTGGAGCTCAGAGCATCTTCCCCAAACTGTCCCCCTCCCATAAGGGGTATTTTCTGTGCTGATAGCAGCCCCATTAATGACCCACCCTCATTAACATGCTGCTCTCCCCTCTCAGCTCTTACTGCTGCTCCGCCATCCAAGCCGTGATGTTCCTAGCGGTGCGGGGCCAGGAACCACACACGATCCCGCTGCTAATTAAGATAAACCTGCACCTGATCAATGCAACGAGTTTTAGGACTCCTTCTTAATTAAACACTCTCTAGTTTATCGATCGGCCCCAAAAGTTGCCTTTGCAGCAAATCATATCAATTAGTCAGGGGCAGGCACGCACCAGAGTCCTGCTAATTGAAATGTGTTGCCTGCAATGATTTTATTTTAATCAAGAAATCGAAGCAGGCGAGACGCAGGGACCGGCTCCATCAGCGCGTGGCAGTCCCCGGGGAGGACCATGGCAGGAGAGGATGCGTGCGCAGCCCCCTGGGGACAGGAAGCCACCAGGGCCTCTGGGTGGGCAGAACCAGTGAGGCAGAGCTGGAAGAAAATGGGATTCTTTAGGGGTGCTGGCAGCAAATTCAAGTGGGAAGGAGCTCACCTGTCCCCGAATCACCCCTTGGCTATGGCACCTTCACCTTCCTTGGACCCATCCCGTTACTCAGTGGGGTTTTCCCAGTCCTTTTTAATCCCCATGACAAGGACGGGAGAGACGAAAGCCACTGCAAGCCATCCCTTGTCCCACTGTCCCCACCCACGCCCCCCCCCCCAGCCCATGACCCTGCCTGAGATTTATGGATGCTGAAGGAAGGAGGATTCAGCACCAGATCCTTCATCATAGCTGTCACATTTGACAGCTCTCAGAGACTTCTCCAAAACCCACTTAATTACCACCAAAACTGAAGGGACACGAGGACATGGCCACCTGTGGACACAAGCGGCCCTGGGGCACACACGTCCGGGCACTCAGCCATCCTGGCAATCGCAGGGACGATTTATCCATGTCCTCCTCCTGTAGTGCCCAGGGGAGGTGACACTCTTGTCACCAGGGCCTGGGGCAAGGATGCTGGCTCGGCTGTGGCCCCTGGTAACCCCAGGCTCCCTGGGGGAGGCAGCGCTGCCCCCCACCCCGTGCTCCATCGTCTTGTCTTGGCCACAATGGAGATGACACATTTGCTGACACAGATGCATAAATATATTATTGCATCCCCAAAGCCTCAATAATTAATGGGTGGAGAGAGACGGGAGATCGCTCCAGCACCGCGTGGGGGTCATCTCCTGGTGGAGCTGGGGAGGGGGACCGTCCCCTCCTGTCTCTCCCTGAGCTTTGGGGAGCTGCCGAGCCCCAGGGTGGCATGGTGGGCGATGTTCTGGGGACACCCCTGCTGCTTGCTGTGCCCTCGCCCAGCCCGAAGCCCCCCAAGTAGGGGAGGGGGTGACATGGGGGGGCATGGTGACATGGGGGTCCAGCCCCATTCATTTGCACAGGGTGACACTGGTCACCCCATCCCTCTGCCCACGGGGACGGGTTGTGGGGGGCAATGAACTGGCGGCAGGAGGGGGGGGGAGAC